ATCACATGATATGCTTGTTCCAGCCATCTAAAACAAAACCACCTGCAGAGTTGCACCCAGGAAGCTTGAGGCAGTCGTCGCTGTCGGCCATGGCAAGGGGTTAGGGTCCTACAAGAAACCAGGCTCTCCGTTTCCGCACCTGCCAGTCTTCGTCGTCAGTGTGCAATGAGGCGACATCATCATACATCATGGAGGTCATCGACGGACAGACGACTCAGCAGGGAGGCAGCAAGGGGCGCAGCAGAAAGAAGGAAAAAGGCAAAAAGGGCAAGGAAGGCAGCCACAACAGTGCAGGCAGTGCAAAACAGTGCAGATTATATTTACAGTAAGGCACTAACATGGAAGGTTCAGTCTGGAGCAAGCTGCAGCATGTTGTCCTGAGCTCCTCGGTGCAGGGACATGGGGCATCGCGCTCCGGTTCTACACACTCAGTCAGTGGCAGAGCGACCTCTTTCAGGGATGCATACAGTGACCAGGCAGTGCATACTCTACAAGAGGCAGGCCAAAGGCTGGGGCCCAAAAACAGTGCAGAGAATTATCAAGTTTCAGTTGACCCCCCGGACCATTGCCGTCGGGATCTAGAAAGCACGGCCATCCATCCAGACGGTGACAGTGTCCTGTTGCGCCGGAGGACTCAGGTTGATCACGTTGGCTCCTGTCGGCATTCCCTGGGGAGCGCTGGGTGCTGCCTGCACCGTTGCTCCAATGGAGGGGATGTATGCCGGTGGCGTGGTGAGGGGGTGTCTCCATGGCCTGGTGGCGGCCTCCACTCTCCCAAATATGGCTGGAGAGGTCTCCGAGTGGTGCTGTCAATTGTGGACAGCGAATCGCTCAGCGTTCCGCAGAGGTGGGAGCCGGGGGTGCAGATTGGGCATCAGGCGAGGGGGAGAGGTTGGCTTTAGGCTGCGCCGCGGGTACATCAGGGCTAGCGGTGGGAGGGGATGAGGGAGGTGGAAGAGGTGGATCTGTAACATCATCTTTAGTTCCCTCATCCGCCTTCTTGGGTTCCGATGCCTTTGCGGGTTCGGATACGATTTCTGCTTGTTTGGAGGGTGCCTCTGGTGCAGGGTCAGGGGGTACTGCTGGTGAGGTAGAGGGCGGCGGGGTGGTCCTTGGGGAACGTCGGGCAAAAACAGGCCTTGCCTGAGCCAGGACGAAGGAGCCCAGGAGGAGCCACGGGGCATAGACCATGGCCATGTTCAGCATTTCTGCTGGCGGTGTCGTCACTACCTTAAGGAGGTAGTACATGACATACCCCTCAAGGGTGGGGGGTATCTGAGCACGTGGTGCACCGGCATCCGTCATGGCAGGCGTCGGAGTGCGGTGGAGCAAGGGGGAGGCTCGGGCAGGTGTTCTCACATGATGGCAAGGTGATCCAAGCCCACCAATTCTGGTGGTCTCATGAGTTTCGCATCCCCTCCTCGGCACCTTAGCACAACGCTGTTTTGAGCAGCTTGGACAGTCTACTGGTACGTCAAGAAGCTCTGTACACGATCACTGCCAAGGAGGTTTATCCGGTAGTGGGGCTGTTGACAGCCCGGGTGCCTCCTGAGGGCGAAACCGCTGCAGCTCTACCTGTAGGGCCCTGGCTTCTTGGCAGGCCTGGGTCATGGCTGCTTGGGCTCCGGCCAAAGGAGTCTTAAACTCCTTTTGTGCCCGCCAAAGGCGGTCTTCCAGAGACTTGAGGGCATCCATCACCGCTTGGGTAGCGGCTTCGTAAACCCCGTGCTCTTCAGTAGTCAAACTGTCTACATTCTCTTTGAGATTCTCGAGATGCTCGTTCATGGTTTTGAGTGCTTCGGGAACGTCTGCTTGCAGTGGAAGAAGAGACTTCCTCATCAAGGCAAACAAAGGGAAGAGCTGGGTGGTCTTCTCCTTTAATTCCTGCACTTCCAACCCGAACAGCCTGACTGTCTGAAAGAGATCAGTTCTCGTTTCCCTCCATTTCTCGAGAAGTAGAGGCTGCAAAAAGGATTGTGGTTCAGCGAGCACTGGCGAAGTCTGTTGAGACACCGCCTGCTGAAGCAAACTTTGCATGCTCGTCATCTGAGCACATAGCTCAGCCAAGGTTCTCTGGGTCGTCTCTTGGTCCTGTCGCATCTCCTTCCATTGGGCCCACAGGGCCAGCAGGCACTTGGCGATGGCAATGATCATCACGACAAGCCCGAGGAGAAGCCAAGATACCACCCAGTCGGGGAGTGCAGTGAGGTCGCGCGGGGGAGCGTCAGGGGCAAGGCAAAAAGGTTCCATGAGCAGGGCGGAGCAGTGCAAGGCAGGGCAAGTGAAGCAAGTACGGCTGCAAGTAGGTGAAACTTAAAAACAAGAAGGTTGCATGAGCAAGGCAGAGCAGTGCAAGGCAAGGCATGCGAAACAAGTACGGTAGCAAGTATAGGTAAAACATAATATTTTCAGTCCAAGACCTAGGCTAGGGTGAGCGCCAGGGGAACAGGTACTTCCTGGTGAGCGCTTGGGACCGAGTACTTCTTGGTTGAGCGCCCGTAGGTACTTCTTGGATGAGCGCTGCGGTCCTCAAGTACTTCTTGGTAAAATATTGAGCGCCTGTTTCCCTGGTACTTCTTGTTGCTAGAAAGGCACTAGTACAGAGTAATAGTAGAAAGGCATAGGGGAGTACCTGGCAAGCCTCAGGACAGGAAGCCTCAGAACAGGAGCCCCTGCACTGCCACGCATTGGGCTCTCCAAGTATTCCTAAGAGTCGTGGGCCCAGTGCTTTGCCTCATGCTGCGATAGCACTCATGAAACATGTAGCTAAAGTCATTGGTGAGGGCCTAGGTAAGCTGTATTAACAGACTCGAGCCGAGGCAACGTAGACGATTGCTCCAATGGGGAGGGCAAAGGGCGACATGAGGTCATCGGGCAAGGGGATTAAGGAGCCCTACTGCACTCAAGAACAAGTATGGACAAAAGCAAAATTAGGAGCTACAACAAAGAAACTTAGGGGGAAAGGTCTCCTCACGGCTCGTACCTCACTGTTACAAGGGGCAGTGGGAGGCTCGGGTCAGTATTAGGGCAAAACAAGGGGGTTTATAGGCAGGAGTTGGGGCTTCACAAACGGCAATCAGTTGCAGGTAGGTACGGTAGGAGTTGGGGCTTCACAGGAGTGATCTGCAATGCCTAACGGGTGTGGGTCCTGCGCGTTTGTCTCGTCAGACACAGGCCAACTGGTCGGGGTGAAACAGAGGTCCTACCCAAGGGGGAAGGTATGCCTAGGGAGTGTTCAAAGCCCAAGTGAACCCCCGAAAAACGAAGCGGCAGCAACCTAACCGAAAAGAAGAGCCTACGTCGAAGGCCATCTCCTAACCCTCAAAGAGTCAGCGCATGCAGCAGGCCGGCGAGTCATCAGGGCCCATGGCTTGAGTGGATTTGGGTATGTTGGTACAGGCTTTGGCTTCGAGGGGCTTCAGTCAAGCAACCAGGGGAAAACCCCCCCAAAAGACAAAGGAAACCTCCAGAAGCCAACAAAAGATCCCCGAACCCAAGGTGAACGCTCCAAAAAGGCACCTACAGCAAGGCCTAAAGGTTAGGCAAGCATAGTACAGTTCCACAGAAAAGGAAGCAAGGCAGGTGAAAGCAAGGCAAGGGCGAGCAGCGCAGGTGAGACAAGACAGTGGCCCCAACGTGTATTACACACATCGAGGTAGCCTGACAGATGGCACGGATGAGCTTAGGTGTCATTCAATCTTGGCTGTCCAGGACCTCAATCACGTCATGATGATGGGATTGACGGGTAGACATGTTGAGAGCCTCTTCAAGACTAAGCTGACGTTCCCGAAGAGGAGCTCCAAAATCATTCATGGGTCCATGACTGTGCGGATCGCTCGGGCGGGGGAGGGGAAAGCCTAGGCCACAAAGGATCGCACGGGGAACTACTTGGAGCTGTGTCAAAGTAAGTGTTGTAAATGCGATGAGTACCACCCGACTCGGGATACGATCTGGGTGGGCCACGTGTCCTGCATGGAGGGTTTTTCGGGCGTCGAATATAAAGGGCGCCGTGATAGGGATCAGGACTCCTGGGAGCCGGTTTGCCCCGAAGCTTTTAAAGGTCTTGCCGAGGGGGTCGTGGAGCCAAATCCCATCGCCTTGCCCGGCTTGCGACAAGCTTATCACGAGGGATGGGTAAGGCCCGTTCCGTACATCACGGTGGACGCGGCTGACACAACCACTCCTAATCACGTAGGTGGAAAACCTATGGTACGGAGCAATGGTTTGCAAGAACTTGTTCACTATTAACGTGAAATACGGACATTCAGAGCAATGACTCAAGATATCCCCAGTGGATCTCGGGGAGGCTCCTGAGAGAAGGTACTTAACGCTGAGGCCTGTTTCGGGGTCTGTCCTCCTTCTCAGGTATGACAATGGCATCGTCAAGAAAAGATCGAGTATCTCATGCGCCTTTGGAGCTTCATCACGCTGATAGATTCGGCAAGCCCTGATCTCAATGGGTCGAAGCAGGGCATTTTCTGAAAACCCGAAATGGGGATCCCGAGGTCGGAGGCGGGGAGTCAGAGGGTTGTGAATGGAGGTATCATCAAGGCTTTCAAGATCACATTTCTCCATCTCCGAATCCGAGTCAATCAGAAAAACCCTGGTGGGTGAGGGGGGGGAGGCTTCGGGGGCGGACGACGGCTCATGTACAGTATCATTCACCTCGTCGTCGTCAGCATCATCCAAGTCAAGACTGCAGGGGCCCGGCTTGAGGTGCCACATGGGAGCCATGTCGGGGTCTGTCAGGCAGGAGCTGAAAAGCTGAGGCTGAATGTGAAGGGATTGTCGCATGCGAGTCAGGGGCCTGGCTAAACTTTCCTGGCCTACAAGACTGATCTCAGTATCAAGCCTACCGAAGCACAGGCGCAGGCTGGATCTGTTTTCGCAAGTTCTCGATCAGGTAGGGGGCTGGTGCCCAAAAACAAGTGTACAGTGCGGCAAGGGAAGTCTACTCTCTCAGTGCTGGGCATGTCGCTTGGGTCAAAAGCAAACTCCACGGAGTCAAGTGCACTCCTAGCTCATTCCATGCAATGAATTCGCAGGTCATCTCGAAGCGGGAGACGAGCTCTGAAACCTCTTGTTTGAGTCGGTCTCCCACCATGTCAAAGCATCGGTCCCAGAAGCTCTCTGCAGGCTCTTGGTAGGGCCAGAGAGGAACCTCATACAAGACATCCAAATGGCTGTCGATGTAGCGCGCCAGCGCTGGCAGAAACCAGTACTCTGGCCACGTGTTTCGGCAGGTTCTCAACTGGTGTTGGATTTCCCTGGCTGCAAGGCACTGGTCCAAGGCCGGCAGTTCTTCCAGATATTGGTGGAGCTCATCCCACTGGAGGGCGAAAAAGGGGTGTAGGTGCGGGAGGTGAACCATACCCACAATCTGCGCAATTCCAGCCATGGCGGGTTTACTCGCGGAGTCGCTGGGTTGTTGCTGGGCCGAGAAGCACTCGCCAACAGGGAAGATGGGCATTAAAGAAGAACCAAACCACATTCTCACAGCTATGGTCAAAGGATACTTCCCACTCTGCCAACAAGAAGTGCATGTAGGACACATCGTCTTGTGTGAGAGGGGGGTCATCGGGATCAAGGGTGTCGAAATCCCGAAGGACTCGATCGAGGTCACTCGCATACTCCTCAAGCTCGAAGAGGGTAGCAAAGAACCATGCCCATGAGACCCGCATGGCACGTATGTAAAGACGCATTCGTGCAGCAAGCAGGGATGACATCCTTGGGGGCACAGTGTCGAAGACATCGTAGACGTATCGCGGCAACAGCGGTGGGAAATCGCGAAGGTGGGGTGCTCCAGGTATCACAAAACCACCCGGCAGCTCCATGGCATCCGCATAGAATCAGAGGATCGGACTCGGGCACAGACGCCAAGGGAAATTCGTGGACGTCCTGCCCCCCCCCCCCGGCCTAGACCACAGTCCTGACAGAGAAATTGCAGTTTGTAAAGCTGCCATCTCGTACCAACCTGTTATGCGTGGGGGGGAAAGGGCCAACACAAGAGTTGGCTAGGTTGGGGAAGTGCTTTATGGCGTCCTTGGTGCTATACACGAAGGCACGTCGGAGGAGGTCATGCTGCTGGTCTTGTCGATCGAAGGTGTTATAACGTAGGCGTAGGTTCATGCTGACCTCGCCGGTAAGGACGCAAGGGTGCATGCAACCAAACGGCATAGCAATGGGCATGCCCTGGGCTTGGGGACTCGTATCATGAAGGTAGCCAACAAGGAGCCACAGGTCAAGGCCTTGGCGTTGTCAGAAGTCTGTGTGGGGTGGTGTCTTTTCTGTAGGAAAAGTGCCTGCGCTTCTTCTCGGGAGGGGGGGATCACTGCAACACTGACCCCAACTTCGTCCCAAAGTGCCCACAAGAGGGCCCCCGGAGGCATGTTGGTGACGGAGTGCACGTGACAGGTGGAGTTAATGTAGTCCTCGTCAGGGAAGAAGTGGAAAGGTCTCAGGGCGGCCTCCTCGAGGTTGACGATGACTAATTGGCGACCCAACAAGTCTGTGTTAAGTCGGTCTCTCGTCCAGTGGCGTCTCCACAGCGGGTACAACTGCTGCCAAGTGGTCCGTTCCTGTGCAGCAGTTTCCCATATGGCCGGGTGCGAAGCTGAGCGTATCGCACCATAGCATAGCTGGAATTTCCTCAGCGGCGTGTTCACGACCCAGCCTGGTAAAGAATCCCCCGACATGAGAGTAAAGGTGGAATATCGCCAGGTGAGGAAACGTAGCGGGGTATCCAGCTGGTTTCGTATAACATGGCCCCAGTAGCGCCAGACTTGAGTCGCCCAGCGTTTGCTCCAGGGGTCAATCTGCAGTGCCGCAAGGGTAGCTCTGGCTGCTCTTCGTTTCGAGACGGTGTTCTGTAGGAATTCACCGAAAAAATCGGCCCTAAAGCCAAGTAAGCCGACCAAGAGTGTGTTCTGATGTGCATCCAAGGATTTCAGACTTTGTCGTGTGGGGTAGCATAATCCGCAACTCCACAACCACCTGGAGGTCACATATAAATCGAAAAGCCTGACCTTGCGGGCCGCGGGGAGACGGCGGGCATTAAAAATGCCTCGCATGGCAAAGTACGTGTTAGCGCACCTGCCCAGGCTTTTTTCAAAACACGTCATCGGCCTGAAGTCATAGGACAGGGGGACACCTAAGTATAAAAGATGCCGTTCCGTTTTGAGGGGCACACAGCTCCCGCGGAGCCAGATACCAGGTCCTGAACCATCTGGCGTGTCGAGGACGGAGCATTTGGTGCGGTTTACCTGGAGTCCTAAAGTGGAAAGTACGTCGGCGACCTGTTGGATCTTGAACTGCAAATCCTCCGGGCCCCTGGCCGCCACGAGGATATCATCAGCATACAGCAGGAGATGTGGCAATTCCCAAGAGGGCCATCTCCGTTCCCAAGACCGAATAAGGGGTCCCAAGAAGGAGTCAACAACCCTAGAAAAAAGGATTGCACTATACGCAGTCCCCTGAAGGACCCTTCGCTTAGTAGGAGTGCTCCAGGAATCGGGTCCGAGGCGAAGGCGTACCTCACAGTCCTGACAGAGCTGCCATAGAGCCCAAGTGGCATGATTAGGTTGGACCTGCATTAAATATCTCAGAACAGCATCATGGGACAGTGAGTCAAAGGCGGCTTTGAGGTCCAGTTTGGCGACGACTGGTCTATGGCTATAAGGCGGGCGCTACCAATCTGGAGGAGCAGGGACGCAGCCGCGGCTCCATCTATTGCTTGGGAGCCCTTCCTACAGGCAAACTGGCCGGCCTGGAAGGCTGGCCAAGATTCCTCCAGGCGGGTTCAGGAGAAGTTTGGAGTAGACTTTACAAAGGCAAGGAGTGAGGGCAATGGGTCTTAAGTCGGCAGGTCCTCCAGGTTGTGAGACCTTGGGAAGCAAGCAAATCGAGCCTTGTTTCCAGTGAGGGGGAATGGGGCGGGCCCCAGAAAAATACGAGTTCATAAGGTTGACAAGTTCAAAAGCATTATCCGAAGCTGCGAAGGAGATGAGGGCCTCATAAGTGACCCCATCCGAGCCTGCAGCTGTCCCTGTTTTGGCTCCTTGAAGGGCAGTACGTACTTCTTCGAGGGTGAAAGGCGTGGGGGATGAGGTTTGATGTCGATATCACGCAGCGCCTCAATGAGGGCAGGGGGGGGCCCTTGACCGTTCGTGTCATATTTGAGGTCGTAGAACTCTTTGAGCTCCTTTGCAGCACTTTCCTGTCCTCCTCGTGCCTGTATATAACTGCCTGCGACCTTGGTTTGCGCGGCGCTTCGCCGAAGGTGGGAAATGGCTGCAAAATCGCCTGTCCGAGCTCTATCGAGTATATCTTGCTTGAAAGAAGCCTTGTCTTCTGCTCTCAGGCAAGCAATCTCTTGTGCTAGCGCAGAACGTTCATCCGCGCTCGCAGAAACCTTGCGGCGACGGATGAGGTCTCTGATAAGTTCCGAATCTCTATACCGCGGAAACTTAGGCCGAAAGGAACATGAGCCGAAGGCAGTCGAAAGGTCGGCTTCCGTCGGGTCGTCTGGCATCCGAGCTATGGCTTCCTGCCAACGCTCCGTCTGCAGGCACCACCTGCCGCATCGATCTTGCCTCTTCCTGTTGCGGTTGCGGGCCTGTGGGGCAGCTTGGAAATGTACTAGGACCAAGTCGTGATCCGAGGGTAAAGCCAATCTGAGGTCCTCGCGCTTTGTTGATGAGCCTAACATACCCTCGTGTCGGAAGAGGAGGAAGTCTAGTGGCGCCTCCAGCCCCCTAGCATGCCATGTGGGCCCCACGTCTTCTGAGGCCCTGAGGCGGAACCGAGCCAGGAGCAGGCGTAACTGAGCCATGGGCGAAAAAGTGTCCTGGGTCGTGTGGAGGGGTTGATTGAAATCCCCGCCTACGAAAACTGAGTGTCCCACCGGGACATTTCCCAAAGCCTGGGTAAGTTGTTCAAGGGTTGAGGTCCACACATCAAAGGCGTCATCGCGTTGGTCATGTGGCAAGTGTATAGTAGCCAGGGCAGAAGGGTCAGTTCCTACCTTGAGTCGCAAAAACAGTCCTGCGGGAAGTGTGGCAGTTTGGGGGGTCGAAGGGTTCAGGTCCGAATTAACCAAAATGGCCACTGCCAGGTGGCTCTTAGGGGGGTTGTGCAAATAGACGACGTATTCCATGCCATTTAGGTTCAGATCCTTAGTGATTGTGTGACCAACGCCCAGACTGGCGAAGCCACCAAGCTCCTGTAAAAACAGGATGTCGGGTGCGTCAGCAAGTTGCTCGAAAACATTGACAAGTGTTTCCAAAGGTTTTCCATGTAAATTCCAAGTCGCGCACGTGCATGCAAGCGAATTACGATGCTGTGTGGGACGCCCCCGCCCTGGATCCTACGAGCTGAGCTCGTCACGGACCTGCTGAGGGTCCATACCAAGGACTCGGGAGATGATTTCCGGATTAGTCCACCAACCACTCTCGTTTCCCTTGGCATCAAGCATCATGAGCGCCTGTGGCGCGGGCGTGTCCCTGTCCGCATGGAACAGCACTTGAGCACCACGGTACCAGACCCGGCCTTTCCAATCGAAATCGACTTCACTATCAGAGAGGAATCTCCTCCCGTAGTCTCTGAGCCCCAGGATGGCGCGGTTACGGTTACGTTCTTCGATACTACGGTTGCGGGAGATCCATAGCTGTCCAGTCTGACCGGGGAGGCTGGACCGTTTATCACGGTCTTGCAAGATTTGGCGCAGCTTATTGAGGACTGCTTGTTGCACTCTTCTGCGGGCGGCCAGGTTATCATCCACATACAGCAGTTCAATACGGGCAATGTTAGAGCGGACATAAGGAGTGATGATGTTACGCAGCAGGGGGACGGCCTCTGACTCTGCAGTTTGGAAAAGTTCCCGAACTTCCTGCTGGATATCTTCCCTCTTAGCATCCATGTACCCTCCGAGAACTAACTGCCAGTCGTCAACGACCGGTCCTCCAGGAGCGGTAGACCCGACCCCCGTACTAGGGGCTTGACCTGTGCCAGCGCGTCCTGTTGTATCTCCTCGTCGGGGCGTAGGGGCCGGGCTGACCGAGCGACTTCTGACTTCCTGAAGTTCGGCCGTCAGTGCATCAAGTTTCCTGCTCATTTCCGATTGCACCTTGGAGAGATGGTCGTTACGGTCCTCAACCCGATCCAGACGCATACCTACCACCTTGAACTCCTCTCTCTGTTCTTGAACTGTGTTTAAAATCTGTCTCTGGTCCTGGCGCATACCTTTCATGTCAGCTAAAAGACTATCCCTGAACCCCGAGAGCCAGGCCGGTTCGTCCCCGATATGGTGTTGAGGCACTGCAGTGGGTGGCGGTGCACCAAACATAGGTTTTGATTGCAACCCCGAGCTCCGAGATTGTTGCTGACGACGCGGGCGTTTGTCGGGGCTAGTGGGTGATGAGCTAGGGGGAGTCTTCTTTTCCCGGGGATCAACATCCATGTGTCCTCCCAGCGCAGCCTGGAGGGCTGCAGTAGCATCGGCATCAAGAGCCGAGGGGCCTCGAGAAGCATGTAGGGGGCTCTCCTCGAGTTGTTGCAGAGCAGCCTGCTGAACGTATGCCTGAAGGCCCCCGGGTCGGGACTCAGGAGGTCTAAGGGCAGCAGAGGGCAGCGACACTGGGCGAGAGTTCAGGTCCCCACGTGCAGCAGGGTGGTGATCATCGGCTCCCGTGCCCAGGGGGTGGGCAGAGGCAGAGTGAGCAGCAAAATGCGGCACACCATCATTATGATCATCGTCGTCATCCACATTCACCAGTGCATGATTGTCGTCGTCTGGCAGGGTGGCTCGTGGCCCTTCAGGAGGCTCTTCACCGCTGGTTTTCATTTGCAAGGAGGGATACACCTCCAGCGTGAGAGACTGAGGGTTCGAGGCTGGGTCTCAGGGGCATCCAACACTTGAGCCGACAAACTTGAGCCGTAGACATATAGATATATACACACATGTTGCAGTCGCCCATTGTATCCGCATTTTGACAATGTGTAGACATACGTACATATGGAACGACATACATACATGCGTATACATGTACATATACATACATACATACATACATAAATACATACATTGCTTTTACTTCTCTGAAAACAGTTATTGTAAAAGTATAGAATTGGGCATCAGTATTGAGGACATGCTGGATTTGGCGGTCGCCATGTCACTGCCCGTTCGCTTTTCTGCCCCAGGGAAGGCTACGAAGATAGGACCCTTGGGCTATGTATAGTGCAAGAGCAACCTTTGGTGCAGATTTATGACTGCGCTAGAACAACCTTAGGACAGCATCGAAAGCCCAGCTTTGTACACATTAGGGCAGATTCGAAGCTTGTTGCGCCTTGTGGAAAAACCTCAATTCGTCTGAAGGGCTTCGTCCATGGCCGTGCTTTTGCATTGCTTGTGAGCGGCGGTGCCTTTCATCAGGTTATGAGCGCCCAACCCGGCAGCGAGGCGCTGCTCCGCGAACAAGAAGGAGACCGTTCTGGGGAGGTGTAACCTGAGGCGGTGGATACCGGAGCGGTGTTGCCGGATGCTGCATACTCTGCAGCATCGGGCGCACCGCAGATGAATGGGACAGCTGGTGGTGGCCCG